GCTTCAGCCTGACCCTGTTCTAGCCATGGTGGCCATTTGGGGAATGAACCAACAGATGAAAGATCTCTTTATCTCCCCCTCCCCCTCCAGCCCTCTCGGCGTTCTTTCAAACAAATTTTACTTAAAAGGATTTTAATTCATCCGTGTTGCAAAACCAGTTACTAAATCTTAATCCTGGAATTGTCTTTGTTCCACCCTTAAATAAATATCAGAACTCTCTGAGACCTAGGTCAGGTACTCCCTTGGACTGAAAGTGAGGTACTGGAACCAAAAAGGGGGCAGTGAATGTAAGGCTACCACAAAACACAACACCGGAGTTAAGGGAAAAGAGTTTCTTGACGGGGGAAATCTGACTGGCTGGAGGGAAGGGGCGAGGAAGGGGGGTGCTGTCAAGAGTGCTGAGGAGAGACAGCACGTGTGCAGGAAGCAGGTCCTGTTCTACTCTTGGAGGGGGTACGGAAGTGGGAGCAGCGAATCCTGGTAGGGTGGGGGTGGAGCTGACACTTGTGGTTGGGCCATTTGGTCACCTGACTTCTAGCAATGGTGGCAGCGAGGGCCAGAGCCTAGGATGGTGTTGGGGCATAGATCCTGCCACAGATGAGACTGTGTGTGCCATTTTACTATCAGTGAATGGATGCTAGTCTTGCAAAACAACTTGTTTTCTCTACATTGTGCTTATGTGTTCAATGTTAATTCTTTTAACTCTAGTACTTCCTGTGTCCCAGGTCCTTGATCAATCTGGGAATATAAAAGGTTAATTTACTGTGACTAAAGAGCAAAATTGTAAGCTGGTTTTGAAAACTCCTGTGATGTGTGTGGTCTCATCCATCTTGTTCGTGGCTTTATTCTCTTTCCGGTCCTTAATACTCCAAGTACCTGACGTTCCAGTAGTGCGCCTCCTTGTCCTTGGAGTACCATTACTGTCTGCGCTCAGTGCTCTACATCTAGAATATGCTGTCCTTTATACCGTGGCATGTTTTGGTTCTTCACCTCCTTCAAGGCCTAGCTTAAATGCCATCTCTTTCAGAAGCTCTCTCAAAGATTCATTGACCCACTTCAGTTTTTCTTTGATTTCAGCTGTCTGTAGCTTCTAAACCAAGTTCCTTCAGTGGCAAGTATCCTCATAGTGCCTGTGAGTGCCTGGCACGTAGTAGGCTTATGAAACAGTGGGCAGTTATTGTGGCACCCTTCCTCTTTTTGGAATGATCTGTCCTTTAAATGTCCAAGGCCTGGCATTGTGTGTAGTGGGTAAAGCTGCCGCCTGCAATGCTGGCCTCCTGTATCCGCGCCGGTTTGAGACCCAGCTGCTGCATTTCCAATCCGGCTTTCTGCTAATGGCCTGGGAAAAACAGCAGAAGGTGGCCCGAGTACTTGGCTCCTTGCTACCCATGCGGGAAACCTGGAAGAAGTTTCTGGCTCCCGGCTTCAGCCTGGCCCAGCTCTGGCCATTGCAGCCATCTGGGGAGCGAACCAGTGGATGGAAGATTCTCTCTCTCTCTCTTTCTCCCCTTCTATAATTCTGACTTTCAGATAAGTAAATCTTTAAAAAAAAAGAAAAAGAAAACCATTTATATAATAATGTTCTTCCATCTATTCAGTTGTTCCTCATTTACTGCTCCTCAGTCTCTCCCTGATGTGACTTCTTACCTGTTAGGGTTATGCAAAAGTTTCTTATACAGATGGGGTCAGAATGGTATTGTTACTGTGTCAAAGTGGAGCAGCCAGAACATGAATTGGCGCTGTGATATGGATTGCCAACATGGCAAGTGGTGGCTTAACCTGCTGAGCCGCAATGCCAGCCCCAGAAAAGTAATTTCTTTTCTGTTCTTTTTGGGGAGGAGGGTATGGTTTAATTTTCTTATTTGAAAGACAGAGTTACAGAGAGAGGGAGAGACAGAGAGAGAAAGAGAAGTCTTCCATCTGCTGGTTCACTCCCCAAATGACCGCAAAGGCCAGAGCTGAGCTGATCTGAAGCCAGGAGGTAGGAGCTTCTTCCAGATCTTCCACGCGGGTACAAGTGCCCAAGGACTTGGGTCATCTTCCACTGCTTTCCCAGGCCATAGCAGAGAGCTGGATTGGAAGTAGAGCAGCCGGGACTTGAACCGGCACCCCTATGGGATGCCAGTCCTGCAGGCTGGGGCCTTAACCCACTGTGCCACAGCACCGGCTCCCCTCATTTCTTTTTCAGAACTGCCTTTTCCCGGTTAAGTAAATGTTTGGAAGCCCTGCTCACACATGATGTTAGCTGGATTTTGTGAGGGTTTCTAACAGAATCAGCTCTATAACCTGTGTAGTCTCCACAGCACCTGTGTGATGAATATAGCTAGTGTAAGGACTGGCCAGATGTGTGGTTGGGTGATTGGAGTTCACATAAATCTGTGTTCTGCCAGTAACTCTTTGATCTTTGTCAGTTCCCATAGCGCCCCCTGCTCACTGTTTATCAGTTGTAAGGAGGGAGACATTGGCTGTTGCTTTGACTGGGCAATCAAAATTAACACTAACAATGAGGGGAGGAGGCACATGAAGTCTCCAGATATCCTAGCTTTAGAAGAACACAGTGTTGCTTGTATAATGGTCTGATTGATGTCAGAGAACAGAATTACAATTTAAAAATCCCGATTGCTTTATTTTTGATTTCAGGAATCAGGCCTTATTTCATCATAAGTGTTCCTATGGGCTGAGCAGGAGAGGTTTTACAGGCAAAGGCCAAAGGAAATGTAAACAACGAACAAAAGTGGATAAGTCCTTTCCAAGTTACTTTCCCTCTAAAATGAAGGCAGAGAGACAGAACGACAGAAACATGCCCGACTGGTTGACATTAGGTTACTTTAGGTTGCTTTTGTGTAAGAATTAAAGCAGAGGGGACTTTGTTATCCAGATTGAAAACTGGCCTGTTGGGAAACTTTGGATGACATCTCTCATTTTCTCTGGCTTCTTATAGAAAGTCTGATAAACAGCTAAGTTTAGTTTTGGTGAAGGGGAACTTTAGCATAGGTGACTCCATTTTGACTTTTAATCTGGTGAGGCCCAGTGCTGGAATCTGTGCCAAAGCAATGAGCAGTTAATGTTTTTTATTTAACATTGGTCATGCTTACCTGGAATCTAATCATAAGAAAACATCAAACAAGTCCAAAGTGAGAAGCATTCAAATTTTTTTTTTTGTTTTAAATATCAGTGTCATAAAAGTAAGGAAAGATAAAGGGACTGTTCCAGATTAGGGAGATTAAAAGGGACAGGGTGGCTGGATGCAGTGTATGTACTAGGCTGGGTCCTGGGCAGAGTGGGAAAAGCACCATACGAAATAGTGCTGGGTCAGAACAAACTGAAATGTGAGTAGATAGATGAGCAGTGTTGTGTCAATTTTGAATTTCCTGAGGCTGATAACAAAACTGTTTATCTAAAGTATTAATCTCTTTAGGATGCACATACTAAATTAACTAGAGGTTACAGTAAATGGTGTATTCAGCTTAACCTTAAGTGCATCAGACAAATATGTATGATGGGATGATGCAGCACATGGGGTGAGGACGCAGTGTGCTTTGTCCTACTCCACCAACACTTCTCAGAGTTCAAAATTTTTCCCAGATAAAAAAGATTTAAAAAAGCAAAAATACGTTTTGCCCTTCATTTTGGGGTTGTTAAAAGATTGTGCGTTCTGAAGGAGCAGAGTACTTTATAAACAATGGCTCCTGCACACTGCTTAGTGCAGGTCGCCCCACGTCATGCTGCAGGTGCTCAGAGCCCAGGTCAGCTTCCTCCTGGCTTATCCCTAGACCTCAAAGGGCAGTGCTGTTTTGTTTTGTTTTGTTTTGTTTTGTTTTGTTTTGTTTTGTTTTGTTTTGTTTTGTTTTAAGATTTATTTATTTATTTGAAAGTCAGCTTTACACACGGAGAGGAGAGGCAGAGAGAGAGCTACGTCTTTATCCACTGGTTTACTCCCCAATTGGCTGCAATGGTCAGAGCTGTGCCAATCCGAAGCCAGGAGCCAGCAGCTTCTTCTGGGTTTCCCACGTGGGTGCAGGGGCCCAAGAACTTGGGGCCATCTTCTACTGCTTTCTCATGCCAAAGCAGAGAGCTGGATCGGAAGTAGAGCAGCTCCATGTTGGATGCCAGCACTGCAGGCGGCGGCTTTTCTCCCTACACCACAGCACCAGCCCCTTTTTCTTTAATGTTTGGTTATTTTCATAATGTGAAAGGCACAATTTCTCTCTCTCTCTCTCTCTCTCTCTCTCTCTCTCTCACATACACACACACATGGAGTAGGGTAGGGAGAGCGAAAGAGCATAAAAATCTTCTACCGGCCGGTGCTGCGGCTCAATAGGCTGATCCTCCGCCTTGCGGCGCTGGCACACCAGGTTCTAGTCCCGGTCGGGGCGCCGGATTCTGTCCCGGTTGCCCCTCTTCAGACCAGGAAAAGCACCTGGCTCCTGGCTCCTGCCATCGGATCAGCGCGGTATGCCGGCCACAGCGGCCTTTGGAGGGTGAACCAACGGCAAAGGAAGACCTTTCTCTCTCACTGTCCTCTCTGCCTGTCCAAAAAAGAAGGACACATAAAAGAGAATCTTCTACCTGCTGAGTTGTTTCCCAAATGCCTGGGATAGCCAGAACAGGGCCAGGCCAAAGCCATGAGCCTAGAACTCCACCTCAAATCTCACGTGGGTGCTAAGGCCCCAGTCCTTGAGCCATCTGCTGTCTCCCAGGATGCATTAGTAGGAAGCTGGATTGGAAGCAGAGTAGCAGAACACAAAGTGAGACTCCAGTATGGGATGCAGAGTCCCAGGCAGTAGCTTTACCCGCTATGCCATAGTGCTTGCCCCAGGGCAGTATCCTAAGTGTCTTGTGTTAGACTTCAGAGGCACTGAGGTACTTGAGTATGTCTTCATCATGGTAGCAGATTGTGGTTCATTTGTAACTGGCTAACCTGATGTGGGACTCACTTGAACATTGCTTACTATTAAATAATGTACCTTTAGCTCTAAAGAGTCTTTTTTCTCTTTCAGCCCAAAATGGAGTTAATCCTGACTGGGAGAAGAAAGTAATTGAATATTTTAAGGAAAAGCTGAAGGAAAATAATGCTCCTAAATGGGTAAGCTTAAAACAGATTTTGGAATAAGGGCTAGGCAGACTGGTTTCTCCCAGGAGAGCAGCAGTCTACGTGTAATTGAGAAATAAATTAGTTTGTACTTATGCTTTAAGTACCTGTGTATTTTAAGTTGTTGATTCTTATTGCTTCTTGGCCTTTGGCCTAAGATCAGGTATAAAAGTTGTTGGTCTCTTTGGAACTCAGTTGCAGCAATTAAATGCTTTTGCATTGTGCCCCTAGGTGGCAGTAGCTGCTTGTGTTACTTCCCAAGACAGAGCAGTTAACTTGAGAAACTTTGCTTTGAAAGAATTGGCATGTGCTGGTTGTAAAAGAGCTTGACAGTACGCTTCTGCTGATTAACTGAAATGTTAAATGTAAAAATGAAAAGTGTCTTTTCACATTTGGTCAAATGTGGTTGCACAAACTTAGAAGAACTCATGAGTTTTATGGACAGGGTGTTCTGTTGACTCACTTGACTGTCTTCCTTTCAGGTACCGTCATTGAATGAGGTTCCCCTTCACTACTTGAAACCCAACAGCTTTGTGAAATTCCGTTGCATGATTCAGGACATGTTTGATCCCGAGTTTTACATGGGAGTCTATGAGACGGTTAACCAGAACACGAAAGCACGTGTATGTATGGCTTCTCTCAGGAGACTTTCTGCTTATAATTGTGTTTATAATTTTGTCCTTGTGTTTTTTCATAGTAATTTTGGGTCTAATATATTGACATAATACAGTTACCTTTTGTTTTTGTTCATAGGTTCTTCATTTTGGAAAATATAGAGATGTAGCAGAGTGTGGGGTATGTATCTCTAAGACACACACAAGTTTTATTAAGATTAATAAACTGTTGATAATAGAAGGAATAGAAGCGCTTTTACATAGCAATAATGAGAGGGAAGAAAGCAGAATACTGGATATAGTTATAGTTATGAAAAGGTAGTCTTGGAGTAGAAACTTAAGAAAAGCAGTTATAGGGAACCACAGAACTACATTTTGTTTGCATTGCTTTTCTAGTGATAAGGGAGAAACATGTAGAATTGAATTGAATTTTGTTCTGATAATTGTTCAACATGCCTGCCACCGTAACTAGCTAGCATTTCTAGTTTTTTAGTAAAAGTTACCCGCAATTAATTAACCAGAACTATCTCCCATAGTTTGCTCTTTGTGTGTTTTTTGTGTGTCTGTAACACAGACCCTGGTTGTCAGCCGTTGGGAAGAAAACAAGTAGCTCAGGTGGGGGTTGACCAGACAGGTGCTTAGGCAGGGCCCCCATAGAAGGTAGGACATCAGTGAGCTCCTTACCTGTCCTCTGGGTCTCTTTACAGACCCAGCATCTTAGGTTTATTGGGTTAATTTTTAGCCAACCCCCCCCCCTCCCCCCCATTCTGTGAGTCTTAACTCCCTCTTAACCTAAAGAGATTGGTTTGTAAACCCAAGTACCAGCCTGTCAATTTATAGTACGATTTGTTCCTGATTGGATAAGGCTTCTGGTTAGGTGGGCAGATGTGTACAAAGGAGCTGCTGATTTGTAAGGTTCCACAATGATGATGTTAAACAAAAATATCATCTCCAGCAATGTTTTAAAGATTTACTTAGTTGAAAGGCAGAGAGAGAGAGAGAGAGAGAGAGAGAGCGAGAGAGAGAGAGACACCTTCCATCCACTAGTTCACTCTCCAGATGGAGCTGGGTCTGGGCTGGGCAAGCTGAAGCCAGGAATCCATCCAGGTCTTTCCCATGAGTGACAGGACCCCAAGTACTTGGGCCATCTTCTGCTGCTTTCCCATGCACGTGAGCAGGAAGCTGGGCTGGAAGTAGAGCTGCCAGCACTCAGACCAGTGCTCTCCTATGGGACGCTGATGTTGTAAGTGATGGCTCAATTCGCTGTTTCCCAACACGCAGGGCCCTGGTTTTTTAGAGCACTGAATTCATTTGAAAGATGGGTTTGTATAGTCTTAACATATGGTGAACTTCAGCTGTCCCAGATGTCTTTAGAGTATTTCATTAAAGTCAATACTCTGCCAAGGCTGATGGATCAACTTTGTGAATGCTTACTGTATCCCTTGTTTAAGGGGCCATAGTACATTAGGGTATTATATTAATACACAATTTTTTCTAGTAAACAATAATGTAATACAGCTCAGTAATCTCAGCATCTGAAAATGGGCCAATAAAATGGACACGTGAGACTTTTGTGACACCATGAAAACCAAGAGAGCATTTGTATGTGTGTTGCTAGAAGTGAAAAAAAAAGCCCCATTCCAAGAAAGGGACTTGGTGCCTAGAAAGAAGCAAACAAAACCCCCTAACTTGTATGTGTTATCTCAGGCTCAACCCAGGGTTCTTTCTACCTGAGGGTTTGGTAAGCATATTTTAAAAAGAATGTGCCTTTCCTAAGGAGTGGTTAGTGACTTTAATCTCATCTCAGTTACCTAGTAATAAGAATGTCGTTGATTCCTATGTTATAGGCTGGTTCTGATAGTGCTACGCGAGATTCAGTGGGATTACCATGTGTTTTGTCTTTAAAAGGATTAAAAGGTTGTAATTGTGTAACCTAGGTATTATAAATTTGAAGGAGTTAATATTTTGATTATTATATGAAATTATTTCGCATAAATTTTCCTTTAAAAATGATGGAATTCGTAGCTGATTAATTTAGCAATTAATGTAAAATGCATGTTATGTTATTATAAATGACATGAAAATATGGTTGCTGATTTTTAAAATAATTGTTTTTGTTAATTTTTTGTGTACCTCACAGCCTCAACAGGAACTTGACTTAAACTCTCCTCGATCTACCACTTTGGAAAGGCAAACTTTCTATTGTGTTCCAGTGCCTGGGGAGTCCACATGGGTGAAAGAGATATCCTTTATCTGAATCTTTTTATGTGTTGAATCCTTCCTAATTTTTTTTTAAGATTTTATTTATTTGAGAGGTAGAGTTACAGACAGAAGGAGAGACAGAGAGAAAGGTCTTCCATTCTCTGGTTCACTCCCCAAATGGCCGCAATGGCTGGAGGTTGGCCTATCTGAAACCAGGAACCAGGAGCTTCTTCAGGATCCCCCACGCTGGTGCAGGGGCCCAAGCACTTGGGCCATCTTCTACTGCTCTCCCAGGCTATAGCAGAGAGCTGGATTGGAAGAGGAGCAGCCGGGACTCAAACTGGTGCCCACATGGGATACCGGAGCCAAAGGCCAAGACTTATCCTACTGCGCCACAGTGCCAGTCCTGCCTGCCTAAGTATTAAAACCACAATTCAGATTTTTGGTTTCTAAACACTTAGTCTTAGGTAGTTAGCTGAGGGATAAAATACTCTTCATTTGCAAAGCTTGACTTCATTTTAATAAATGATGTTTCATTTATCCTAAACAGGGAAATGTATAAAACTTCCTAAGTATTCGTCACTGAGGAATGGTGAAAGAGTGGTTCATTCATACTGTGAATTACTGTTAAAAATATTGAGGCAGATTTAAAGGTACTGCAAAAGAGAGTATCATGATAATTAAGTAAAGAAAGTTTAATTCTAATTTTCTTAAAGAAAAACAACATGTTGCTTCTTTGCAGTAGAGATTGTGGAAATTTCTCAGTCTCCTTTTTACTCACTTGTTTGGGTAGTAACTTTTTATTTTTTTTTGGACAGAATTATAGACAGAGAGAAAGGTCTTCCTTCCGTTGGTTCATTCCCCTAATGACCACCACGGCTGGTGCTATGCTGATCGGAAGCCAGGAGCCGGGTGCCTCCTCCCGGTCTCCCGTGCGGGTACAGGGACCCAAGCACTTGGGCCACCCTCCACTGCCCTCCTGGGCTGCAGCAGAGAGCTGGATTGGAAGAGGAGCAACCGGGACTAATACCTTGCGCCCCAGCCGGGACTAGAACCTATCCCGTAGGCAGAGGATTAGCCAAGTGAGCCACAGCGCTGGCCTGAGTAGTAATTCTTTAGGGTATAGTTCACCTGTATTGACATGGACAGTGTTTAAGGATACGCTACGTTCCAGGGATTTGGATAAACACACAATCCATATAATTTATATCCCACTCTAGCACTGATCTCTTTTATTCCCAATAATGTTTATTTCTTTTTACTTTTTATTCTTGGTCAGTGTCACTAGGGATTTATCACAGAACCATCTTTTTTAGTTAGTTTTTAGTTATTTGAAAGGCAGAGTTAGAGAAAGAGCTTCCATCTGCTGTTTCACTCCCCAAATGGCCGCAATGGCTGGGGCTGGGCCATTCTGAAGCCAGGAGCCAGGAGCTTCTGGGTCTCCCATGTGGATGCAGGGATCCAAGGACATGGGCTGTTTTCGGCTGCTTTCTCAGGCACATTAGCCGATAGGTGAATCGGAAATGGAATAGCAGGAGCTCTAACTGGGCGTTGGGATGCTGGCTTTGCAGGGAATGGCTTAACCCATTATGCCTTAACTCTGGCCCCAGTTAACAAATTTTTAAAAATTTATTTATGAGACAAAGAGTTTGCATTCACCAGTTCGCTCCCCAAATGCTCATAGTTGCTAGGGTTGAGGGGGACCAAAGGTAGGAGCCAATTACTCAGTGCAGGTCTCCTATGCGGGAGATGGGAGCCTGAATATTTGAGCCATCTCTGACAACTGCCTTCCAGGGTCTGCACTGGCAAGAGCGGGAGTCGGGAAGCCAAGCCGAGTTCTGAAGCCAGGTATTCCTGTATGGGACGGGGGCTTCCCAACCACTGTCCAAACACCCGCCCCTCCCGATAGTTCTTCAGCGATTTTTTTCTCTCATAATTTCCTAGGACTTCAGTCACATGATTGTTATTCTAGGTAATCCAGACTCGGCTCATTTTTCCTTTTTTTAAAATCTCTTTTCTCCTTTTGCTTCAGTTTGAGTGTTTGCTATTGCTCTGCATTCGAGTTTCCTGGCTCTTTGTCCTCTCTCATCCTTAATCTGCTATTCAGTGATTGTTTTGTTTTAGATTTTTCACTTCGTTTTATTCACATTTCTCTGCTAATATTGCTCATCGACTATAAAAATTGTCGATTTTATAATTGCAGTATTTTTCTTTAATGTTTGTTTATTTTCACCTAATTGATGAAAACAGAGACAGAGAGAAGTTGACCATCCACTGCTTCGCTCCAGGGCCAGGCAGACTCCAGGAGCCTAGAACCCCATCCAGCTTTCCCACATGGGTAGCAGGGACCCACGCACTTGGGAGCCATCACCCACTGCCTCTCAGGATACATTAGCAGGAAGCTGGATCTGAAGCTCTCCTACGTGGGCTGGGGTATTACAAGTGGTAGTTTACCACACTATCACAGTACCTGCCCCTTTAATTACATTTTAATGTCCTTGGCTGCTAATTCCAATGTCAGGGTCATCTCTGGGTAGGTTTCTTTTTTTTTCTTTTTAACTTTTATTTAGTAAATATAAATTTCCAAAGTACACTTTATGGATTACAATGGCTTTTTCCCCCCCATAACTTCCCTCCCACCCGCAACCCTCCCATCTCCTGCTCCTTTTCCCATTCCATTCACATCAAGATTCATTTTCAACTATATACAGAAGATCAATTTAGTATATAAAGATTTTATCAGTTGGGTAGGTTTCTATTGACTGAATTTAATCCTGATTGTATGTCACACATTTCTACTTCTTTGCATTACTGACAATATTTGTTAATTATAATATACAACATCATAGAGAGTTCAGTTTACTGTCTTCAAGAATGTTGCTGAGGGGCTGGCGCTGTGGCGTAGCGGGTAGAGCCACCACCTGCAGTGCTGGCATCCCATATGGGTGCCGGTTCAAGTCCCAGCTGCACCACATCTGATCCAGCTCTCTGCTATGACCTGGGAGGGCAGTAGAAGATGGCCCAAGTGCTTGGGCCCCTGTACCCATTTGGGAGACCTGGAAGAAGCTCCTGGCTTCGGATTGGCGTAGCTCTGGCCATTGTGGCCAGTTGGGGAGTGAACCAGCAGATGGAAGACTTCTCTCTGCCTCTCCTTCTCTCTCTGTGTAACTCTTTGAAATAAATAAATAAATCTTTTAAAAAAAGATGTTGCTGAATAAGACATGGTGCTTACGAGGTGGAGTGTCTCTACGTCTTGCCCATATGCTTGAGGTGTTTAGCTCAGTAAGGCCCAGACCTAGTGCTCTGTGGTATTGAGTTTCTGTTAACCCCTTGGCCAACCAGCAGCTGTTTTCTGCTAGGCCTCAGGAGTCTTGACTTATGTGTCCACATCTTAGTGTTTGGCCAAAGATCAAATGGAACCTGTGTAGAATTCTGAGTTGCCTTCTGACTGGTTCCTCCCTAGTGCTTTTCTGTAAATTCCAGTTGCTTCAATAGCCCTGAACGGTGTGTTCTGCTTTCTCCTCTTTGTTACAGTTCGGAAGATGCTTCCAGCACAGAGAGGTGGGAGAATGTGGGTTTACTTGGTGTTTCTCTTCATTCAGAAGTCATAACCACGTGCTCTCTGCTGTCCAGTGACTACAAACAATTGCTTCACATATTTTGTTGAGTTTTATGCTTATTTATAGCAAGAGCAGATGGTAAAAGAAAACCTACTCTTGCAAATACATTTTTATTTTAACTAAATTAACCAAACTAGTGATTACTTCTGTTAGTCCTATAATCAGTGCAATCCGGGATGTTCTTTAGTTCACGTAGTCTTTTCTTAACCTATCGTTTAACGCCTATATCAATGCGAACCAAGCACGAGTCAGTCCCTCGACGTCGTACACTCCCAGTCGTCACAAGAGGAGTTATGAAGATGACGAAGATATGGATCTACAGCCCAGTAAGCAGAAAGACCAGCATGCTAGTGCCAGGCAAGCAGGTACTGTGTAGACCTCTGCTCTCTGGCAGTCCGTTCGTTTCCAGAATTAACTTGTGTAACACAGCCTCGGGTTGAGGGGCAGGCTGACTTTCAGGCACATCAGTCCTGTAGAGAGTAGTGCTCTTTGGTCAGACGGTGCCTCATGCCGAGCAGAGGCCTCGCTTGGCAGAAGCACTGCTCTGATGTGTGCTGTTAGGGCCTCAAGTGGTGAGCTGGAGAAGGGTTTCCTGGTTTTCTCGTGTTTATTTTTATCCCAACTCGGAAGCCGTGTGGAAAGGATAGTACCTCACCCTAAAAATGTGTCAGAAAACATCCTTTCTCTTTTTCTTTTTCGAATAGTAGCACTTCAACCTATCAAAGGAAAAACATGGAATTGTAGTATACTGTGTAGTAGTTTATTTCTTAAGGCATGCTTGAAATACAACTGATTCTGTTTAAAATAAGGAAACCAAAGGTCAGCATCTTCTGTGTGAGACATTTCTGAGTTGGCCACTTGTCCTTGCTGACTTCAATCACAGCTTGTATAAGCAGATTTCTTCCTTGTGCCGGTCACGTCTATGTGGCTGTTTTAACCAGGAGCCCCGTCGGGAAGGAGGCAGTGATACAAGACTCCAGATCTGTCGCCATCTGCAGGGTTGGGTTGAGAAAGAAATTTTAGCAATCACGGCAAAGACTTCCTCATGAATTTTATTCATTCTACTTCCTGTTTCTGAATTTCCTTAATGCCAAGGCATATTTTAATGTTTTTAGTGTGTTTATAGTGAGTATATACAAATGTGATATGTTGCATTCTTTCTTTTCTCTACCTATACCCAAAGTTCATTAAAGTTAAATGTTCTATTGCAGGTGATGTTTTCTATTTTTTTTTTTTTTTTAAGATTTATTTTATTAATTTGAAAGAGTTACAGAGGGAGGTAGAGAGAGAGAGAAGAGAGGTCTTCCATCTGCTGTTTCACTCCCCAAGTTGCTGCAACGGCCAGAGCTGACCCTATCCGGGGCCAGGAGCCAGGAGCTTCTTACAGGTCTCCCACGTGGGTACAGGGTCCCAACGATTCGGGCCATTGTCTTCTGCTTTACCAGACTTATTAGCAGAGAGCTGGATTGAAAGTGGAGCAGCTGTGATGTGAACCGGCACCTGTATGGGATGCCGGCACTTTAGCCTGGGGCTTTAACCTGCTGTGCCACAGCGCTGGTCCCCAGACAATGTATTCTAATCCAGGAAGTACAGTGGTTCTTTATTATTACATAAGCAATTGATATTCCTTTGCTAATTCTTGCCCTTTTTTGTTTGAATGTCAGACTGCAGGGCTTTTTAAACATTTGAGTACATTATTTATGTATTCAGCTTTTTTGTTTCTAGGCAATCTTTCAGGTTATATGTATTTTTAAATTTTTGAGCTAAATGTAGGTTTGGGTGTAGTTGTAAGAAATAATAGATCAAATACATCTTTCTCCCACTTTTCTGCAGTGATAATATCATAGTTATACAGTAAATATAATATATTGCGTAATGATTGTAAGGTAGGATAACCAGGGAATGGAACTGATACAGGTTATCAACCTTATGCAGAGTGTTATTTATTTGGAAGGTAAAGAACGAGCTCTCTCATCTACTGGTTCCCTCTTCAAATGCCTTCAACAGCTGGGGCTGGGCAAGGCCAAAGTCAGCAGCCCAGAACTCAAGCTGGGTCTTCCATGTGGGTGGCAGGCTCAGTACTATCTCTGAGGGTGCACATTAGCGGTAAGCTGGAATCAGAAGTGGAGCTGACACTAGAACCAAGCATTGCAATATAGGGTGTGGTATCCCAAGTGTCATTTGACTGTGCCAGGTAGACGTGGCACAGCCAGTTAAGCCGCTGCCTGCGATGCTGTCATCCTGTATGAATGCTGGTTCAGGTTTCAGCTGCTCCACTTGCTATTCAGCTCCTTGTTAATGTGTTTGGGAGAGCAACAGAAGGTGGCCCGAGTACATGGGCCCCTGCCACCCATGTGAGAGTCCTGGGTGGAGTTTCAGGCTTGGGACTTCAACCTATCCCAGCCCTGGCCATTGCAGCTATTTAGGGAATGAACCAGAGGATGGAAAAAAGATCTCTATCTCTGTCTCTCTGTCTCTCTCCCTGCCTGCCCCTTTCCCCTTTCAGCACCCTCTCTAACTCTGCCTTGCAAATAAATAAATCTTAAAAAGCAAATAAAACACTGCTGTGCCAAATGCCTGCCCCTCAGAAATCACATTTTTTCTCACACACTTACTTGTGTGTGTTTAATTCTGTGCAGTTTTACTAACATTTATAGATTCATGTGACCACTACCCCAGTCAAGATAAGGAACAATTTGTTACTCAGATCTCTCCTGTTGCCTAATCATACCCACCTCTTTCCTGCCTTTTCCCTCTGGTCTTAGTCCCTAACTCCTAGCAACCACAAGTCTATCTTCAATGTCTACAGTTTTATCATCAGAAGAATATTATATACATGGAATCATACGTTCTGTAAAACTCTGGAGACTGGCTTTTCTCAGTAGTGTACTTCTCTTTATTGCTGAGTAACAGGGGTGCTGTGTTTTGATTCTGGCTATCAGCTGTAGGTTGTAGCTGCTTCAGGAGTGGGGGCTATCTTTTAATGATCTCTGTCCTTGACAGTTGGTCTCATTCAGGTATGTAGTGGAGGTTAGGAAATATCTGGTCAATGAATTCATTGCTGTATAGTTTTATTCTGCTTAATAACTAGAAGTTTATGATCTACCAAAGTGCTTTGTTGTATGTATTCTTAGGTCAAAGATGTCAAAGTAACCACACCAAATGTCCGAATATCAAGTTTAAAAGTACATACATGAGATTTGAGGGGAGGAATTAGTTACACTTTCTTAGCGTGAAAAAAAAAAAAGATGTTCAGATTTTACTTTGTTCTCTTGCATGTCAAACAAAGAGTTTTGTTAGTATATTGTGGTACTAAGAAATGACAACTTGAACTTTTCTAGCTGAGAACCATCATTATATCAAATGTGAAAGGCATTTTTGAAATGTTCCCAAGACATTAGCAATGACTAAGTGCAATGTTATCCTTCGCATTTAGGGAGTGTTGGTGGTCTTCAGTGGTGTGGAGAGCCAAAGCGCTTAGAGACTGAAGCTTCTACTGGACAGCAACTGAACTCCCTGAACCTGTCTTCTCCTTTTGATCTGAATTTTCCACTGCCGGGAGAGAAGGGACCTGCATGCCTTGTGAAGGTGGTAAACTTTCATAGACCCTGTGTTGACATTGACACTGTATCTTGAAAATTGAAATGGTATGCTCTTAGCATCCGTATTGCTTTCCTTTTGCTGCCATAGAAATTTCTACAAACTTAGAGGCCTTAGGCAACAAAAATATTAACCTTACAGCTTGTAGGTCAGAAATCTGACATTGGTCTCAGTGGAGTAGAATCAGATGTCGGCAGGTGGTGGGGCTGTACTGCTTTCTGGACACTGTGGACATTTATGTATTTACGTATTTGAGAGGCAGAGAGAGAACATCCATGCTCATCCACTGGCTCCTCTCCAAATACGCACAGCAGAGCCCTGGAACCCAATCCAGGTCATGGGTGGCAGATGTCGACTATTCGAGCCAGCATCACTGCCTCCCAGGGTCGCCATTAGCAGAAAGCTGGAGTAAGAGCCAGAGTCAGGCTTTGAGCCCAGACACTCCAGTGTAGGCCACATACCCACCCCACTGTATCACTTCTAGCTTTATAGTACCTACTGCAGTTTTGCCTTTCTTCTGTTAAAACCCATTCCTCACTTGTATTTAAATTAGAAGAATGCGGGGAGTGCTGTTACCAGTTCTCCTATCTGTTAGGTGAATAAAGTTCTCTTCCATTCTTGTTCTTTGTGGTAGTTACTTCAGTGGCACTTCAGTTATAAAACACAGGGGCCAGAGTGACCACTTCCTCCCCTGCTGTGCTTCCACAGTCAGATCTCAAAAGTAAGAGGCTTTGACAGTTAACTAAAGTCTCTGATAAGACAGGTTTTTTTGTTGTTGTTGTTAATTTACTTAAAAGGCAGAGTGACAGATTTTCCATCCTTTGGTTTACTCTCCAAATGACCACAAAAGCCAAATCTGGGCCAGGCTGAAGCCGGGAGTTCCGTCCTGGCCTCCCATGTGGGTGGCAGGTACCCATGTACTTAGGCTGTCTCCCACTGTCTTCTCCAATGCAATAGCAGGGAGCTGGATCTGAAGTGGAGCAACCAGGGCTTGAACCAGCACTCATGTGGGATACCAGCTTTGCAGGCTTAATCTTAACCTGCTGTCCTACAGTGCTGGCCCCAAGAGACAATTTTGAGAGGTTTTTGTTGTGAAAAATCTCTTGGCCATTTTAAATGTGTGTTAATGTTTCATGTTTTGTGAATAAGTCCAAAATTAATCATCTTGAGGTGCTTTCTCTGCCCTTCTTTTAGTATGATTCACAGTTTTTGAGATAATTTATGTTTCTAGCTTTTTTTTTAAATTAACAGAGCCTTATTATTATTATTTATTTATTTGACAGATAGAGTTAGACGGTGAGAGAGACAGAAAGGTCTTCCTTCCGTTGGTTCACTCCCCAAATGGCCGCTGTGGCTGGCGCTGCGCTGATCTGAAGCCAGGAGCCAGGTGCTTCTCCTGGTCTCCCATGGGGTGCAGGGCCCAAGCACTTGGGCCATCCTCCACTGCCCTCCCGGGCCACAGCAGAGAGCTGGACTGGGATGCCGGTGCCGTAGGTGGAGGATTAACCAAGTGAGCCACGGTGCCAGCCCCGTGTTTCTAGTTTTAATTAACAGTTAACCTGTGGAGGCGGGGCTGGTGCTGTGTTGCAGCAGGTTAAAGTCCCAGCCTGAAGTGCTGGCATCCTACATGGGTGCCAGTTCTAGTCCCAACTGCCCCTCTTCCAATCCAGCTCTCTGCTATGGCCTGGGAAAGCAGTAGAAGATGGCCCAAGTCCTTGGGCCCCTGCATCCATGTGGGAGACCCAGAAGCTCCTGGCTCCTGACTTTGAATCAGCCCAGCTCTAGCTGTTGTGGCCATCTGGGGAGTGAACCAGCGGGTAGAAGACCTCTACCTCTTTCTGTAACTTTGTCTTTCAAATAAGTAAAACTTGGCTGGCGCGTGGCTCATTTGGCTAATCCTCCGCCTGTAGTGCTGGCATCCCAGGTTCTAGTCCCGGTTGGGGTACCGGATTCTGTCCCGGTTGCCCCTCTCCCAGTCCAGCTCTCTGCTGTGGCCCGGGAAGGCAGTGGAGGATGGCCCAAGTGCTTGGGTCCTGCACCCACATGGGAGACCAGGAAAAGCACCTGGCTCCTGCCTTCAGATCAGTGCAGTGTGCCAGCTGCAGCGGCCATTGGAGGGTGAACCAACGGTAAAGGAAGACCTTTCTCTCTGTCTCTCTCTCTCACTATCCACTCTGCCTGTCAAAAAATAAAAAATAAAATAAATCAAATAAGTAAAACTTAAAAACAAAAACCAGTTAACTTATGGGAAAAGCCTTTTCATGAAGTGTGGGGTAGATTGAAGAGACATTGATCAGGGAGTCAGTAGTACTGTATTTCAGTTTTTAACTTGCTTGCTAACTAGAATGAAGGGTTTCAAGCAGGTACCTCACCCCTCTTGGTCTCAATAAAGGAATTATTTTTTAGGCTGTTTTGTGTCATTTAATCCTAATAAAATGATTTCATGTGATCTCTTTGTTAGGTGTATGAAGATTGGGACTGCTTCAAAGTAAACGACATTCTGGAGTTGTATGGCATACTGTCTGTGGATCCTGTGCTCAGTGTACTGAACCATGATGACAGGTGAGTCTGTTTGCTCTTTCTTAGGTCATAAGCTACGGGGTCGGTGTAAAGAGCTCCATTTCCCCTTCCTGTATTTGTGCGCCATGTACTCTGTCATCCATTAGTTCTCTGTGCACACGTTGTTGGAGCACTTGAGGTGCAGACATCAAGCGCTTTTACTCCTAAATACTTTGGTGAGAACAAAAGACTTTTTTACTTATCAGAATCTCTTAATCTGCTGTACTGTACTGTCTGACTACGCACTCCCACCCCACTTTAAAAAAATTTCATTTTAGGCCGGCGCCGCGGCTCACTAGGCTAATCCTCCGCCTAGCGGCGCCGGCACACCGGGTTCTAGTCCCGGTCGGGGCGCCGGATTCTGTCCCGGTTGCCCCTCTTCCAGGCCAGCCCTCTGCTGTGGCCAGGGAGTGCAGTGGAGGATGGCCCAGGTGCTTGGGCCCTGCACCCCATGGGAGACCAGGAAAAGCACCTAGCTTCTGGCTCCTGCCATCGGATCAGCGCGGTGCGCCGGCCGCAGCGCGCCGGCCGCGGCGGCCATTGGAGGGTGAACCAACGGCAAAGGAAGACCTTTCTCTCTGTCTCTCTCTCTCACTGTCCACTCTGCCTGTCAAAAAAAAAAAATTTCATTTTATTTGAAAGGCAGAGGCTTTTCTGTCTATTGGTTCACTTCCCAGATGCCTGCAACAACCAGTACTGGGCTTGGCTGAAGCCAGAAGCCCAGAGTTCCATTGAGGTCTCCCATGTGTGTGTCAGGGACCCAAGTACTGAAGCTATCATCTACTGCTCCCCAGAGTACACGTTAGTAGGAAGCTGGATTGGAAGCAGAGTTGCTGGACACAAGCAGGACACTCCACGATGGGTTGTAGGCGTCCTGAGCAGTGACTTAGCCACTGCACTAATTGCCCACCCTAGCCTTACTTTTTAAAATTTTTAAAAAGATTTATTTATTTTCAAAGTCAGAGTCAACCAGAGAGAGAGGGAGAAACAAAGAAAGAGAGAGAAGGAGAGTGAATCTTCCATCCGCTGGTTCACTCCCCATATGCCTGCCACGGCTGGAGCTGCGCCAATCCAGGAGCCAGGAGCCTCTTCCAGGTCTCCCACGTGGGTGCAGGGGTCCAAGGACTTGGACCATTTTCCACTGCTTTCCCAGGCAATATCAGAGAGCTGGATCGGAAGTGGAGCAGCTGGGACGTGAACCGGTGCCCATATGGGATGCTGGCATTGCAGGCAGCAGCTTTACCTGCTACGCCACAATGCTGGCCCCATAAAGTTGTTGTTGTTGTTGTTTTTCTTTTTTCTTTTCTTTTTTTTTTTTTTTTTTTGGCAGGCAGAGTGAGAGAGACAGACAGAGAGAAAGGTCTTCAATCCTTTGGTTCACCCCCGAAATGGCCACCATGGCTGGCGCGCTGCGCCAATCTGAAGCCAGGAACCAGAAGCCAGATGCCTCCTCCTGGTCTCCCACGCGGGTGCAGGGCCCAAGCACTTGGGCCATCCTCCACTGCGTTCCCAGGCCACAGCAGAGAGCTGGACTGGAAGAGGGGCTACTGGGACAGAATCTGGTACCCCAGCCGGTACTAGAACCTGGGATGCCAGGGCCAAAGGCGGAGGATTAGCCAAGTGAGCCGCAGCGCTGGGCAAGTTTTTAAAGATTTATTTCTGGGGCTGGCGCTGTGGCACAGTAGGTTAATCCTCTGCCTGTGGTGCCGGCATCCCATATGGGTGCCGGTTCTAGTCCTGGCTGCCCCTCTTCCAGTCCAGCTCTCTGCTATAGCCTGGGAAAACAGTAGAAGATGGCTCAAGCCCTTGGGCTCCTGCACCCGTGTGGGAGACTGGAGGAAGCTCCTGGCTCCTGGCTTCGGATCAGCGCAACTCCTTCAGTTGCGGCTATTTGGGGAGTGAACCAGTGGATGGAAGACCTTTCTAACTCTCAAATAAATAAATACAATCTTTAAAAAAAGATTTATTTCTTTTTTTAGGATTTATTTTTAATTTATTTGAAAGAGAGTTACAGAGACAGGTAAAGCCAGAGAGAGAGTGGTCTTTCATCCACTGGTTCACTCCCTAAATAACGGCAATGGCCAGAGCTGAGCTGATTCGAAGTTAGGAGCCAGGAGCTTCTTCTGGGTCTCCCACGTGTGTGCAGGGGCCCAATGACTTGGGCCATCTTCTACTGCTTTCCCAGGCCATAGCAGAGAGCTGGATTGGAAGTAGAGCAGCCAGGACTTGAAATGGCATCCATATGGGATGCCAGCGCTTCAGGCTGGGGCTTTAACCTGCTGCGCCACAGCACCAGCCCCAAAAGTTTATTTATTTTCAAAGTCAGAGTCAACCCGAGAGAGAGGGAGAGACGGAGCTTCCATCTGCTGGTTCTCTCCCCAGATGGCCACAACATCCAGGGCTGGGCCAGGATGGAGCCAGGAGCTTCAGCCAGGTCTCCCATGTGGGTGGCAAAGATTCAAGAACTTGGACCAGCTTCCACTGCTTTTCCCAGGCCTTTAGCAGGGAATTAATTGGAAGTAGAGCAGCTAAGGCACAAACTGGTGCCCACACAGGATGCTGACATTTCAGGTGGCTGCTTTTCCTGCTATTGCACAGCATTGGTGCCCTTACTATTTTTCGCCATTTGTTTTCTGATACATGACGCGTTTTCAGTCTCTTCTTGTACTTTCCATTTTTTCAAGGACCACACTTTATTTTAATGAGGAATTGTGTTTAAAAATCAAGCTGAGTGCTGAGTGCTGCCTGGTACTGGGTTAGAGCTAGGATGCACATGTATACACCTACATATCCACACACACACATACACACACACCTCACATGCACACATGTCTGTTTCTCAGTCTGTGACAAACCCCAAGTTCATGTCACATCACAGGTGGTATTTATTCTGTTTTCCTTCTTTCCATGTGTCTAATTCCCTTCTCTACAGCGAAACTTGACTCCTGTCACCCTCAGCCTGCCAGTCGTTGAGTTCTGCAGTGCATGGAGGGAAAGTTCAGAACTGGTAACCCATCCCACTACAGTAGCAGCCTGGTTGCTGCACTCGGCGTGTTTCCGTTCTTCATTCTAGAATGATGTCGCATGGTCAGAGTGCTGTGTTCCAGGGTTACTCAGGTCACTCTCCTTCCCCGCAGTGCCAGTCCAGCATTCGTTACATGTAGATCTGCTGTGGCTGATTGTTTCACATCGTAGCTTTTTCTCCATCCTTGTTTTTTTTTTTTTTTAGTATAAAAATAATATTGATGCCAAGTCAAAACAGTACTGTCTTGTTGAATATTGGCTGTTTTTCTTGGTTTCTGCACAGGAAGAACTTGGGCAGTTATTCCACACAAAAATAATGGTGCAAATATTTTAGACACCTTCAACCCTTAATAATAATCCTTTAATAACTATATATATATATATATATATATATATATATATATATATAATTGTTCGTCTTCCTATTTCTGATTATGGTGATTTTCCTACTTTAATTACCTCATTCTTGATGCACAGGCTAAGACCTGATTTGGCCTCCAACTTCCTGGGAGACCTTGGCCTTGGCTTTGTCATTGTTAAGTAACAGCGGATGTGAGGTTTTTATGAATTGGTGTGTACAAAGTGTTGACCATTGTCCATTACATGTGTTTTTTATGTCAGAGGTAGTTACTATTCTTGTGTTAACAGAAGAACATACTGGAGAGGCTATATGTCTGACAATCTACAAACAATTTGGTCATGTTGCAGTCATCTCGATAAATCTGCCAATTTATTTAGCAAATCCACACTTGATTTTCATTGCTTTGACACGCTAGTCAAGGGATGTATCATGTAAGAATGAAATTCAAGAACAGTTGGCTACATAGATTTTAGTAGGTTCTCTCTACACTGAATAATAGGTACTGGATGGCTTTTCAGAAAATGACCCCAGGTTTAGAAGTGTGCCACGTAGTATTTGCCATCTCAGCTTGTAGTTCAAGAAAGAGTACGTTTGTTTTGAATTGTTGTGTGAGTGACATCCCACATTTCATTTAGTGCAGTGTTAGCACACTGAATAAAAATGTTGTTGTTCTTGAAGAATGAAGAAGTCCATTACATCATATGACTTAACTGCTCTAAAGCCTGTATGCTGTAACATTTTGAAAAAGAGGAGCCCATTTCTTTCCTTTAAGGTGACGCACATGTAAAAGTGCTCCTGGTGCGAATGCTCCTTTTGTCTTCGGAGATGCATTTCATTTTGGTGCCTCCACCGAGGCGGTCCCTGGATACCGAGCCGAGTCATCTCTCCACAGGGATGCCTCTGCGCAGCTGGACCCGATGGAGTGCACAGACGCGGCCGAAGAGCAGCGCGTGCACAGCCCGCCTGCCTCGCTGGTGCCCAGGATCCACGTGGTTTTAGCCCAGAAGTTGCAGCACATCAACCCTTTGCTGCCGACCTGCCTTAATAAAGAAGAGAGCAAAGCCTGTAAGTGCAGAAGCCTGGAGCCCCCAGGCGCCCCGGGTGCCCGAGCCCAGTGCTCCTGTGGAATGCGGAGCAGCTCCCCCTACCTTCATCAGGAAGTTTGCCCTACCAGGAATGGTTGCTGCTTTGCCCAGTTTTCCTCTTAGATTGATTCTCTTCTTTGAAATGGGACAGGGGAAGCAAGCACTTTAGTTGTTTTTATTTATTTTTTCAAGATTTACTTATTTGAAAGTGTTACAGAGAGAGGAGAAGAGAGGAGAGAGAGAAAGAAAAAGAGATCTTCCGTCTGCGGGTTCAATCTCCAAATGACTGCAGTGGCCGAGTCTGTGCCAGGCTGAAGCCAGAGGCCCAGAGCTTCTTCTGGGTCTCCCAAGTGGGTCGCAGGGTCCCAAGGACCCAGGCCATCAGCAGGGAGCTGGATCGGAAGCAGAGCAGCCGGGACTTGGCTGGTGCCCATATAAGTTTCTGGCACTGCAGAAGGTGGCCTTACCCCTGCGCCACAGCTCCAGCCCTGAAAGAACCTAAGTTTGAAGACTGTCATTACTTCCCGAGCAGTAGTTAAGTCTACACTGGGAGTGTGTTTCATGCTGCTGCTTCCCTCCTCATTGCAAGGAACCGCAGCGGACTGGAGCGTGTATTCTGAGTCTGATCTCTCTTCCTCCTCCAGTTGTCTCAAGTTTCATGTCTGAACTGTCTCCAGTCAGAGCAGAACTGCTTGGATTCCTCACTCACGCCCTCTTGGGAGATAGTCTGGCTGCGGAATACCTTATATTGCACCTCATCTCTACAGTGTAAGTGCCTGTTCCTGGGGTCCTTGGAGTTTGGTGGGGTGCAGAAAGTGGAAAAGAGCAGGACTTTCGTGTCTTAGGCCTATTACCTTATAGTTTTTATTTGTTCATTGTGACGAGTGCCATACCAGGTAACAAACGCCTTTTCTCACAGTTCCATATTTTGATTATGTTCCCTTGAATTTTAGAGTCAGTATCAAATAAAGGACCTGTCTGAAGAATAAAATAAGCTATTTTTTTATTGAAAAAAAATTTTAAGATTTATTTCTTTGAAAGGCAGAATTAGAGAGAGGGAAAGACAGAGAGATCTTCCATCCACTGGTTCACTGTCTAGATGGCTGCAAAGGCCAGGCCTGAACCATGCAGGTCTCCCATGTTGGTGGCATGGGCCCAAGTACTTGGGTCATCGTCTGCTGCTTTCTCAGGCACCTTAGCAGGGAGCTGGCTTGGAAGTGGAGCAGCCAGGGCATGAATCGACGCCCATATGGGATGCTGGTGTTGCAGGCAGCTGTTTAACCCTGCTGTGACACAATGCTGGCCCCAAAATAAGCTGTCTTGTCTTTTTTACACTGGAAGTTCTGTTTATACATTTCAAGACTGTCTAAAAACAGTTGGTGGGGTACCTCATATGCCCGTTTAACTTGGACAATGGCATTTGTGCATCTCACTTTTGCCTCCAGTATATTCCTTTGTTTTCTGATTTTGAAAGTAATATGCCCCTCCAGGAACATAAAGAAGAAAAAATGTGGGTCTTCAGAAGTCCATGGGAAAAAATGCATAAATGGGAAAACTGTCTCAATTTCTAAATACTTTTGCACTAGCTTGCCATTTTTCCGTGACCTTTCTGTAGCCCCCTTGCTGGAGTCACCTACCGATACAGTTCGTTCACTTGCAGGTGATCAGAGTTAGCGTGTTGGACCTGTGTTCATCTTGCTCTGTTTCCACCCGTGTACTGTGCACCCCTCCGTAGACCTCAGTTACACGGGTGCACATCTTGCTTTCAGCATTTCCCATCGTAATTTTCTCTGAACTTCATGACAGCACAGGAGTTTAGTGTGCGGCTGTACCACAGTGTAACCCTTTCTCTAAATGGTGTCAGTGACACTGTTGTGCCCTATGTGTGCTATAAATCTTACTTTTCCTGGAGGGCATCTGAGACCAGCTGTGGGTAGTGGGCGGGGTCACAGCCTCTGGTCCCAGACCGCCTGCCTGCAGTCCCCGCTGCTTCACTTCCCAGCAGATCGCACATCCCTCATCTGAAAATGCTTACTGCTGAGCCCTCAGTGAGCCCGCACACGTGCTGCTCGCTGTTGGATTTGGGCTGTCCAGGTGAGGGCTGTTCATCTGGCCATCTACGCAAGTATTCCAAAGTCTAAAAAAAATGGACAGGCACTGTTGGTTCCAAGTGTTTTGGATAAAGGGATATTCTGTACTTCAGAATCTCTGTGCCTCACACTTTCTCAATTGTAAAGCCAGGAGCACCCAACGCCAAATGTTGGGGTTAAATGAAAGCCCACTGACGCACTAGCCCAGCCCGGGTCCGGGCCCAGCACTTGTGTGAGTGCTGCCTGTTACCTTTATGGTTGTTATTCTGGTCTCTACAGTAGCTGGTCAGAGGAGTCTGCTTTGTTTTTATTCACAAGCTAATTTTTATCTGTTTTTTTTGAAGGAAACCGCTTCAGATTGGTCTATTTTTTATTTTTTCTAGATATACAAGAAGAGATGTTCTTCCCCTAGGAAAATTTACAGTTAACCTGAGTGGTTGCCCACGGAACAGCACCTTCACAGAACACTTATATCGAATTATTCAACATCTTGTTCCAGCGGTAAGACCAGTCAATATAAATATGTATTATAAACCCAAGCACACAGCAGGTCCATCTGACTCTTTGATTCAACCCAAATATTTACCTTGCAATTTTTTTTTTATTTACTGGGAGACAGAGAAAGAAAGAGAGCTCCATCCTCTAATTCCCTCCCCAGAATCCTGCAGCTGCTGGGACTGGGCCAGGCTGAAGGTGGGAAACAGGAACTCAGTCTGGGTTGTCTCCCACATCCGTGGCAGGGACCTGCCTGTCTGAGCAGTCACCACTGCTTCTCAGGGTCTGTTAGCAGGAAGCTGGACTCCAGCACAGAGCCAGCACTTAAAGTCAGGTGCTCGGATTTGGGATACAGGCATCCCAATGGCATCTTAATTACTAGACCAAACACCAGCCCCTAACTTTTAGATTTTAACAAATTGATTTTGGAGCTGGTGCTGTGGTATAGTAGGTTAAGCCTCTGCCTGTGGCGCCGGCATCCCATATGGACACTGGTTCGAGTCCTGACTGCCCACTTCCAATCAGGCTTCCTGCTGATGGCCTGGGAAAGCAGTAGAAGATGGCCCAAATGTGTGGGCCCCTGCACCCACGTGGGAGACCTGGAAAAAACTGCTGCCTCCTGACTTTCAATTGGCCCAGCTCTGGCTGTTGCAGCCATTTGGGGAGTGAACCAGTAGATGGAAGACCTCTCTCTCTGTCTCTCCTCTCTCTGTAACTCTGCCTGCCTCTCAAATAAATAAATAAATCTTTTAAAAAAAAAATCTGATTAAATGGAAAGCAAACCTTTGTAGGTCATGTAATTTAAAATGTACTCTCAGGGCTAGGCATTTAACCTAGTGTTAATATACCTGTGTCCCATTTTGGGGTGCCTGGGTTTGATACCCAGCTCCAGCCCCAGACTCCAGCTTCCTGCTCATGCAGCCCTTGGGAGGCAGTGTTAGTGGCTGGGCTCATGTCTCTTAAATTACTTTAAAAAAATAATAGTAAATTTTAAGTGTACTCTCTCCTGTGCATTACACTTTTTCATTGCCTAGCATGAATTTCTCTTAAAATTAATTTAATTTAATTTCCCTTAAAATTATAGTCTCTGTTGTCAGTTTATTTGTGCAATTTGTATCCTTTGTGTGCATTTACATCTTAAATCTGAGTGAGCTAAATGACAGGAACGTAACTCCCATAGCTGAGGCAGCGGTGGTCTTTGTCTCTGTCACCCATCAGGGAGGCTGAGCTGCTCTTACTTGGCCAGAGCACCTGGAGTGCGGGGTTTGTGTTGTGTGCACTCTCGGCACAGGGAGTTGTTTCTGATGAGCTGTGCGACCGAAGACACCGCTCGCCTCTTACTTAGGGAACTCAAGGGCAGACGGCGCTTCCGCAGTGTCTCCAGGGCGCCCTGGGCCCTCCAGCAGCACTCGCTTTGGAGAAAGTGCTGAGGTCCCAACGAGCTGTTTTTCCATGTGGGTTTGTATTTAACATTAACTTACCACATTGGAAATTAAAACCAGAGGGTTTATTAACATGGTCATTTATTTAAAATAGGACATCAGTTACATAAGAATATAAGTATTCTCAAAAAAAAAAAAAAAAAAAAAATACAGCTTTTCCCAAACGCAAAAAATTACCAAAGTGACATTGTCTTGTATTTTTGCAAATCTCTCCCCTGTCTGGATTAATGGGAGACGGCTGGCATTTGTGCCACCAGTCTGTTGTAGTGGATGTTCGGTTGAAGTGTGTGAGGGCTTTGCCTTTCCATACAGCTGGGCACGCTACTTCCATACTGGACTGGGGCAGCCCCTCTGGCATTTCCTTCAGGGTTGCGGTGTGGGTTTGAAGCCCTACCAGAACTTTGCTGACTCTGCTGTGGGAGACTTCACTGGTCTGTCTTGTGCATTGAAGAGATGTTTTGGTTGTTTTTTTAAAGCTTTATTTATTTAAAAGGCAGAATGACGGAGAGCACAGAACGCTCTTCCATCCCCTTGTTCACTCCCCAAATTTCCGTAAAAGCCCAGAGCCAGGAGTTCCGTCCTGGTCTGCCACGTGGGCAGCAGTGGCCCAAGCACTTGGACGATCTTCTGCTTTCCCAGGCGCACTAGCATTTAGCTGGATTAGGAGAAGAGCTGGCAGGACTTGGCGTTCTGATATGGATGCCGGCATCTCCAGCTTCCGCTCAACATGCTACACTACTGTTCCAGCTCCTGAAAGGATCGTTTTTTATTCCATGCACAGTTTTGATCTCATGGTGCGTGTGAAAGAATTTCAGCAATTCTTCAGACTCTGGGCTGCATTTTGAGAATCACTGAAATAATGAGAGCTTTCTTGCCACATGGAGTTCAGGTGTTTGTGGTGGACACTAAAACTCAGACTGATACACAGGACACAGAGCAGAGCAGAGGGCCGTGTGGTGTGCTGGCAGTGGACGAGGGTGCACACGGTGCCAAGCCATGGCGGGGTCAGAGAAGGCCCAGCTGACACTGATGTTCACTGGTGACCGTGGAGGAGCAGGCGCAGAGGTGCTGAGGCAGCGCTGGTGAGAACGGTGGAAGGAACATTTAAGGTGCAGTTACTTAGAACATGAATTTTGAGTTACGTTTTTCAGTGTGAAAGGGTTATCCAAGTAAAGTAGTGTGTTAGGTTCCACTGGGTTTGCTTGCTTCTGCTGGTTGTCATATCAGTTTCTTGGTACTGCTCTTGTGTGTAACGCTTGCCCCGTCATGTCTCACTCGGTACGCACAACAGCTTTGGTCTGACATGTCAGGGCCAAGGTGAGCCCCTTCCCAGGGCCACCTTGCTGCTTCTTTAGGGGCTGTTCTCGTGTACTGACGACATGGACTCCCCATCACCCTCATTTTCTCAGAATTTTGAGCTAAAGTACAAAAATCAAACACTGGCAGTGCACTGTACCCCTCCTCGACTGTCTCCTCCCACCCACCACACGCTGCTCTGTAGGCTGGAGCACCGTGCAATTGGTGGAACCCAGGCTGGGTGATGAGGGGCTGAGGGGGTGGGCTCAGAGACGTCTGGCAGATCCCACCCTTGGCGAAGGCCTCAGGGACGTGAGCTGTGGGCCCTGCTCCCTGCCTCCGCGCCCGGCATCCTCTGAGGAATGAGCAGTGTTTTCATTCAGAGGGCATAGCGGAGGATTTCTTTCGCTCTCTTGGTGAATGAAATGAACTTCTCATTTTCTGTTTCCCTAGTCTGTGTTACATGAAGAAGTTAAACTTCTGGCTGTATGATACATGTGTCCTTTGTTGTCTACCATTTGTTTCATTGGTAAAATAAAAATTACTCTTCAAGAACATTCAAGACCAAGATATTCTGAGAATTGGGAAGCTGATAGAATGATTGAGATTCTGTGCAGGGTGAAGATAATATTTTCACTTCTTAAAGACTTTAGAAAACCATGTCACTGTTCTCTCAGAAATCTTCAAGTTCATTCTTCCCATGTAAAACACTGCTTAATTCCCCGTAGATGAGGGCACTTAAAGTTTATGGAAAAATGGAAATAAAAGTAAATTTTTTTTGTGCAATAAATTTTGAAGTTGTATATACAGAGGGTCTTCAAAAAGTTTATGGAAAATGTATTATGAAAATTTTTTAGCACCATTAAAAACTTTTAAACATTTATTATTTATTTAAAAGGAGAGTTAGAGAGAGAGAGAGGTCTTCCATCTGCTGATTCACTCCCCAAATGGCTGCAATGGCTGGAGCTGGGCCAATCAGGAGCCAGGAGCTTCTCCTGGGTCTCCCACGCAGGTACAGGGGCCCAAGGACTTGGGCCATCTTCCAGTGCTTTCTCAGTCCATAACAGAGAGCTGGATCAGAGTGGAGCAGCCAGGACTCCAGCTGGCACCCACATGGGATGCCAGCACTGCAGGCGGCAGCTTAACATGCTGCACCACAGAGCTGGCCCCCATTACAAGCTTTTAATTGGATCCTCCACAAACTTTTTGAAGTATCCCAATATTAAAACAGGGAAACTTAGATCCTTGCTTATAAGAAAACTTCTCTGCAGTCTTTTCGCCTACAGATGACGATAGAGAACATGAACCATTTGAAGTTCATCCCCCACAAAGACTACGCGGCGAATCGCTTGGTCAGTGGACTCCTGCAGCTGCCCAGCAACACCTCCCTCGTCATTGACGAGACGCTCCTGGAGCAGGGTCAGCTGGACAGCCCAGGTAGGGGCGGGGCTCCTCCTCCACCTCCACCCTCCCTGCCCTGAAAGGCAGATGTACAGATGACCTGAGATAGGGTATCTCTGAACAAAGTCACATTTCTTTTTCTTTTTTTAAAGACTTATTTATTTGAAAGTCAGAGATTGATTGTCCATCCGCTATTCACTTTCCAAATGACCACAACAGCTGGTGCTGGGCCAGGCCGAAGCCGAGAGTCTCATCTGGGTCTCCCATGTGGGTGCAGGGGCCCAAACACTTGGGCCATCTTCCATTGCTTTTTCCCTAGGCCATTAGCAGGGAAGGTGGATCGGAAGGGGAACAACCAGGACACGAACCCGTGCCCATGTGGGATGCTGGCATCGCAGGCAGCAAGCTCTACCAGCTGTGCTATGTATTTATTTTCATTTGAAAAGCAGAAAGAGGGAAAGCGATATCTTCCATCCAGTGGTTCACTCCCCAGAGACCCTCAACAGCCAAGAGCCCAAAGCTCCACATGGGTCCCCCACATGTTCTGTCACCTGCAGCCTCCCAGGATGTACATTAGGAAGAAGCTGGACTGTACGCAGAGGAGCCAGGACTTGAACCAGGCCCTCTAATACAGGACGCCAGTGTCCTAAGCAATAGTTTAAGTGCTCTGCCAAACTCTTGCCTCCAGTATAAAGTTTTCAGGGAACCTCTGAGAAAGTATGTAATAGACCACATAGTTTGAAGTAACCTCAGTTATGGAACATGTTATTAAATTTATAGGAAAACACTTTTTAAAAGTTTTATTTATTTGCAAGTCAGAGTTACACACAGAGAGGAGAGGCAGAGAGAAAGAGGTCTTCCATCTGATGGTTCACTCCCCAGATGGCCACAATGGCTGGAGCTGCGCTGATCCGAAGCCGGGAGCTTCTTCCAGGTCTCCCACATAGGTGCAGGGGCCCAAGGACTTGGGCCATCTTCTACTGCTTTCCCAGGCCACAGCAGAGAGCTGGATGGGAAGTGGAGCACCTGGGTCTTGTACTGGTGCCCATATGGGATGCCGGTGCTTCAGGCTAGGGCATTAACCTACTGCACCACAGCGCCAGCCCCAGAAAACAGACTTTTATCCATGCTGAAACACAGAGAATGGAGATGAGACTGCTGGTGATAAGTTCAGGAGGTAAGAGGAGAAGAAAAAAATAATGCAGACTGAGTACATGTAAAGTAGAAGAGAGTTGGCCGGCGCCGCGGCTCACTAGGCTAATCCTCCGCCTTGCGGCGCTGGCACACCGGGTTCTAGTCCCGGTCGGGCCGCCGGATTCTGTCCCGGTTGCCCCTCTTCCAGGCCAGCTCTCTGCTGTGGCCAGGGAGTGCAGTGGAGGATGGCCCAGGTGCTTGGGCCCTGCACCCCATGGGAGACCAGGATAAGTACCTGGCTCCTGCCATCGGATCAGCGCAGTGCGCTGGCTGCAGTGCGCCGGCTGCGCCAGCCATTGGAGGGTGAACCAACGGCAAAGGAAGACCTTTCTCTCTGTCTCTCTCTCTCGCTGTCCACTCTGCCTGTCAAAAAAAAAAAAAAGAAGAGAGTATAAAACATCAGTAAACATCACAGGGCTGCTGTAGCATCATGGGTAAAGCTGCCCCCTGTGATGCCAGCATCTCATACGGGTGCTGCTTTGTGTCCCGACTGCCCCACTTCTATCCAGCTCCTTGCCTGTGGACTGGGAAAAGCAGTGGAAGAGGGTCCAAGTGTTCAGGCTCCTGCCACCTATGTGGGGGACCGGGATCCGATATAGCTCCTGGCTTCAGCCTGGTCGAACCCTCCATTGCGGCCATCTGGAGAGTGAACCAGTACATGGAAGATCCTTCTCTTTCCCTGTCTGTAAATCTGCCTTTCAAATAATTAAAGTAAATCTTTTTTAAAAAGTTTTAGCCCTATCATTATTTCAGGCCGTAGGAGCACATTGCCTTGGATCCTTTATGCCCTGTGGCACATCAGACACGAGGCGTTTGATTTGGGGACATCTTCACCCTAGAAGGTTCTAGCTTGACAGAAAAGCCCTGTTGTCTGTGGAGCATATCACCTAAGGAATATTTAGTAAATTGGAGAGGGCTCTATATCCTTTAATAAAGCAGTGGGAACCTCATGTGCTAACATCTGTGTTAGCAAAACTAATTTGGTGATTCAAATCCAATGACTGGAAATGGCCTCGCTTTTCTAGGGGTCCACAACGTGACTGCCCTGAGCAAGCTCATAACCTGGCAGAAGGTGGATTACGACTTCAGCTACCACCAGATGGAGTTCCCTTGCAACATCAACGTTCTCATCACCTCGGAAGGGCGCTCCCTCCTCCCGGTAGGCCGGGGCCTGTGTGCCTGGAGGGGCTCAGTTACCCTGCGCCGGGTTTTGATGCTGCTTATAATCAGTGCGCTGCACTCGTATACAACTTGTGGCTGCTGATTGTTAATAAGGAAATTGATTATTCTGTTCCTTCCTTGGGGTGAAAGCTTCTATTTGCAAAGAAGCAGGTGTCCACACAGTACAAGGTATGCAAAGCCCCTGGCAGCAGGGCTGCCACGTCGTGGCCTGGGAGGTAGAAGTGGCTGGTTACTTGCCCGAGTATCACCCTGTTGGTTTCAGCCAAGCTTGTGTGAGAAATGCTCTAGAGATCTTGGCAGATGCTCCTAGTCCCTTGGCGCTGTGTTCAGGGTGACCAGTCCTGCTGGTTGCCAGGTGTCTGTGATGCCCCCACCGCTGGAGAGGAGGCGCCCGTGACAGGGCAAGGCTCGCTGGGCAGCTGTCTGGGAGCGTGCTGGGTAACCGAGAGCCAGCCATCTTCTGTCAGCACTGCGCAGGTCCCCTAGTGCGTAGAAACCAGAAACGGTGCTTTCTAACTCCCCTGGCGGCTGCTAGCGATGTCGCACCCTCCCGAAAACGGAGATTAAATCAGGAACGTGGGGAGACCGCGTCCTGCTTCTCTGTGCAGGCCGACTGCCAGGTCCACTTGCAGCCCCAGCTCGTCCCACCCAACATGGAGGAGCACATGAGCAGCCTGCTGGCCGGCGTGCTGCCCTCGGCGCTCAGCAAGTTCCGCGTCTACCTGACCCTGCTGCGGTTCCTGGACTACAGCATCTCCGACGACGTGACCAAGGTACCGCAGGGCGCCTGGGCGGAGCCGCTGTGCAGTCATGTGCAGGCAGAGACCGTGATCTGCTGGTTCAGTCCCCAAACGGCCAACAGCTCGGCCAGGCGGGAGCTTCATCCAGCTCTCACAAGGTGGTACAAGGGCCCAAGCCCCTGGGCCATCTCCCACTGCATTCCCAGGCACATTTGCAGGGAGCTGGATTGGAGTGGGGTAGCTGGGACTCAAACAGATGCCAGCATCGTAGGCAGCTTAACCCTTTGGATCACCGTGCCCACTCCTCTTTTTTCTATTCCTCTCTTCCTCCATTATTGGCAACTTTCATTTGAAATGGATGTTTTCGGGCCTGGGGTCAACTGCTTCCATTCCAGCTCCCTGCTGATGTGCCTGGGAAAGTAGCCTGGGCCCCTGCACCCACATCGGAGATTCGGATGAAGCTCCTGGATCCTGTCTTTGGCCTGGCCCAGCCCTGGCCATTGTATTCATTTGAGGAGTGAACCAGTGGATAGAAGAGCTCTCTCTCTGCCTCTACTTCTCTGTAACTGAGTTTCAAATAAATAAATTTTAATAATATAACCTATTTGGGATTAATGCCAGTTTATTTAAAAATATGTAACCTGTATGACTATAAAGATTTATTTGTTGGAGAGGCAGAGAGGTCTTCCATCCGCTGGTTCACTCCTCAGATGGCCACAACGTCTGGAGCTGTGCCAATCTGAAGCCAGTAGCTTCTTCTGGATCTCCTATGCAGGTGCAGGGGTCCACTTGGACCATCTTCTGCTGCTTTCCCAGGCCATAGCAGAGAGCTGGACTGGAAGAGAGGTAGCTGGTACTTGAACTAGCACCCATATGGGATACTGGAAATATAGGTGGCGGCTTTACCCGCTGAGACACAGTGCCAACCCCAGGTTACATTTTCAGACATCGTACACCCGTTAACACATTTGCAACTTACTGCTTCTATGCACTTGTCTTTTAAATCAGAGGAAAAAAGGCCTTTATTTTTACATTCACCTACGTCGTTACCTTTGCCAGGCTGAGTTTTATGTCACCATCCAGTGTCCTCTCATGCCAACCTGAAGCACTCAGTGTTTCCCGTAGGGAATGTCTGAATTTCTCCTTCATGCTGGTTTGCTGGGTAAAATTCTGGGCTTATAGTCCTCTTTCAAGCACTTTTAACCGCCTTCTGGCCTCTGCTTTCTCATGAGAGGATCGTTGGTACACAGCAAGCCGCTCTGCTCGACAGCCCGCCGTGGCATGTCTTCAGCTTGTCCTGGCTGGAGTTAGTTGAGCTTCTTGAATGTTGCACACTAAAGCACATTCTGGTGAAGTTGTCAGCGAATTTGGGAAATTTGGGTCATTATTTCTGTAAATTTCTCTTCGTCCTCTCCCCCTGGCATTCCCGTGATGTGTATGGTGGTGCACTTACCGCACGAATCTGGGCTTTGCTCTTTCTCTTTTTTTTGTGCTCTACAGATGGGATCAGCTTAGTCTTGGAGCTGGCTGGTTTCTTTCTTCTGCCTGCTGAGTCGCTGTAGTGAATCTTGTCATTTACTGTATTTCTCAACTCCAGCACTTGCGTTTGTTCATCTTTCTCATACTTTCCTTCAGTTGTTTAGAGACTAGTCCCCTATCAAGCAGGGATAGGTTACAGCATCCCCGGAGGATGCCTGGACCTTGTGCACGTACATCTGTGAAAGAGCTGTTTATGAATTGGGCTTAGTTCAGATGAACTAATAATAAAATAGCAGTTCTGATAGTATACTGTAATATTATGTGGGTGTTGTCTCCCTCAGCTGCCACAGGGCAGGTATCCTGTACAGTGTTGATAATGCTGAACACAGGAATAATTTGCATTCCAGTAAAGCAGGATGGCTTAAACTTGAGAAAAGCATGCAATTTAAAACTTGTGAATTGTTTATCATCCCTGGAATTTGTTGTTGCTGTTCATGGGTTTCCATGGTTGGCTAGTGACTCTGGAACTAACTCGAGTCAGCACTGTCATGTGGACACTTAAGTCTCTGTTAGCTTCGTGGTTAGTTGACGATTAGACGGAAATTTCCTGAAGTGCCTGGAAGCAGTGAATCCCCGAGTGTAAGCTGAGGGCTCTGTGCACGTCGGGCAAGCCCGAGACACTCAGCCATGCATCCGACAGCCCTGCCATTGCCTCATTTCCTGTAGGGCTACAGGGTAGGGCTTCAGGTCTCGGAGATGTGTGTGCCCAACTGAATGGCCAGGAATTTGCATGTGCAGTTTTCAAAGCCACTTGTGGACATCTCCTCCCCCAGCTTTTGGTTAGCCTCTTTTTCATCTATTTGAAAGACAGAGATCGATCTTCCATCTCTGATTTACTCCCTAAATGGCCACAACAGCTAGGGCTGGGCGAGGCCGAAGCCGGGGGCTCCTCCCACATGGGTGCGGTGGCTTAAGCATTTGGGCCTTTCTCAGGCGCACTAGTAAGGAGCTGGATTAGAAGTGTAGCAGCCGGGACTTGAACCAGCACTCATGGGATACTGTCACTGAGCCACAGCGCTGGCCCCTGCTGCAGCTCTTACCCTGGTAATCAACCATTGCTTTGTGATTGTTTCTGACAAATGACCCGGGGAAAGAGGCTCTGCCGGGCTGCCGACTTTCCAGACTGGCACAGAGGACAGGGCTGGGACTAGGGAAGAAATGAAAATGAAAACGCCACGGAGCGAGCTCCACCTCACCCAGGGCCAGCTGGGCTTCTTGCAGAAATGCTCCCTGGATTGGCTTGTGTGAGCTTCTCAAATGATACGGATTTTATTTTGTTGAATATTTTTATCAGTTGGATTTTTTAAAAATATTTATTTTGGGGCAGTGCTGCGCTGTAGAGGGTGAAGCCACTGCCTGCATTGCCATTATCCTGTACAGGTGCTGGTCTGAGTCCCGCTGCTCCACTTGGAGCCAGCTCCCTGCTTGCACACCTGGGAAGGCAGTGGAAAATGGCCCAAGTACATAGGCCCCTGCCACCCATGTGGGAGATCCAACGTTGGCTATTGGCAGCCATTTGGGAAGTAAACCAGATGGAAGCTCTCTCCCTGCATCCCACCACCTGCCTTTCAAATAAGTAAATCTTAACTGGGGCCAATGCTGTGGCACAGTGGGTAAAGCCGCTACCTGAAGCACCAGCATCCCATATGGGCGCTGCTTCCAGTCCAGCTGCTCCACTTCCAGTCCAGCTCTCTGCTATGGCCTGGGAAAGCAGTAGAAGATGGCCAAGTCCTTGGGCTCCTGCACTCGCGTGGGAGACCCAGAAGAAGCTTCTGACTTTGGATCAGCACAGCTCCAGCTGTTGTGGCCATCTGGGGAGTGAACCAGCAGATGGAAGACCTCTCTCTCTCTCTCGCCTCTCAACTAAATAAGTAAATCTTTAAATAAGAAATTTATTTCAAAGGCAGAGTTGCAAAAAAGAGAGATACCTTCCACCTGCTGGTTCACTCCCAGAGTGGCTACAATGGCCAGGTGTGGGCCAGGGTGAAGGCAGGAGCCTGGGTCTCCCATGTTGGGTGTTGGAGTCCAAGCACTTGGGCTATCAACTGCTGCCTTCCCAGGTGCATTAGCAGGAGCTGGAGCAGAGGTGGAGCAGCCTGACCCTGAACTAGCGCTCAGGGAATGCCAGCCCCATCGGTGGCATTATCCATGTGTGTGACGTCTAGTTCTCCATCTTTTTGCCCAAATCCTCTTGTATGAGGCAGGGCTGACATTTTTTCCTCAGAAAAGCAGATGTCATTTCCTCGTGTTTGAAAGTGCATTTCCTGTCTTGATAAAGGCAGTGGAAGACGACTTCGTGGAAATGCGCAAGAACGACCCTCAGAGCATCACCGCCGACGACCTGCACCAGCTGCTCGTGGTGGCCAGGTGAGCAGACGTCAGGGCTGGCGCTCCCCGGGGTAGTGGCGGGAGCTTAGGCCGACTTCTCCTTCTGCAGACGCCTCTCGCAAGGGCTCAGTGACCTGCCGCCATGCTTCCGATCAAGCCTCACCTGGCTCTCCCGTGTCCTGACACGCACTGTGTCCTTAAAAAGCATTGCTGAGGCTTGAAGAAAACAACTCCATCCTCGTTCTGGACTCAGTTGTTTTTCTGTTTCCAACGCAGGTTTCTGTCGCTCAGCGCCGGTCAGACAACTCTGTCGCGAGAACGGTGGCTCAGAGCAAAGCAGCTGGAGTCGTTAAGGAGACACAGGCTTCAGCAGCAGAAGTGTGTGAATGGGAACGAACTGTAACGACCTGACACCTCTGAGGCGGGCGGATCAGAGCCACGTGATTGTAGAATTCAAATGCCATTTATACTACATCGTTTTATAGACAATTTCTATCCGAAACCAATGACTTTTCTTGAAATCAAGCCTGGTAACATCTGAAGTTTATATGATATTCAGTTAGGGCTTTTACCTTACTGATTTTATGGAGCTTTTGAAGTTTGTTTTATAATTATATAAATTAGTAACAATGTACAAAAACATATTTGATACTGAACATTTAATATTGATAACATTGTTGATTATCCCATTTCCTGAGCTCCAGCTAAGTCACAGGCCAAACTTTGTTGAATTGCTAATGTTAACTTCATTTGAAGATTGTTGCAATTAGAGGTTAGAGGACTCTGCAATTAACGGTGGTTTGTTCAGGTCTGGGTCTAGGGTGCGAGTGTCCTTGCCGCCGACCCACAGAGCTGGCAGAAACGCTGGGCTCCGGCAACTCTCTCCACTTAGTGGACAGGCTCGGGCCTGGGGGCGTCACACGTAGCAGTGCCTCTCAGGCTTTTGGACGTCATGGACCAGAAATCTTTCCAAAAACTTATGGGACGGGGTTGCCAATTTATTTTGCCAAGTAATCAGAAATAAATCACTGTATTATCACTTTTTTTTTTTTTCATAAAAGGATAATCTCAGAGTCCTTTCAGTGGAATAAATTTAGTGTTTTGAAAAGCACCTGTCCTCACTGTTCTCATTGGATCCCAGTGGATTGAGAACCCCTGACAGGACTCACCTGAGGGACTGCTGCCCCGCAGTTGTGCCCAAATATGAAATAAGCAAAATAGTAAACTTCGGGGAGAAAAAGATTATAAATCGCAATTCCCTGAGGTTTGAGCTTTTTAGGTTTATCAGTTACTTTCAAATGCATTAGATCAAACTAACGTCTGCTGTTCCGGCAAAGGCCTGAGAAAACTACAAGTAGTTTTCCGGAGACCACCTAACAACTCGAATACTCAAACTTTTATAGGAACAAAAATTTTTCCGGTAGCTGGAGAGCAAACTGATACACTGTGCAGTGTGACTATGCGACAAGAGTCCGAGGCTTAGGATGTTGCTTTTCTAAAGCTGTCAGTGGTACACGAGGACTTCCGTTTAGTCAGTAACTTACCTAGTTGGAACCAGATCCAGTGATCCCTTACATTTTTTCTGTGAGGCCTAAGTTGACATTGTGAACCACGGAAATGGAGTCAGCCTTGAAAATTCAAGGGATCTGAACGCCTGGTGAAGGGAAGTAAAAATTCATAGTTCAACTTTTCTTAAAGACAAATCTATTTTTATAAACTAATGTAAATAATGTTTATATTAGAATTCTAACTGGTTTTCATTTTTATAACTGGTAGACTAGACCTTCCTTAAACTTTTAGAAATAAAGTGCCCACTGGATTTGTGATAATACATTTTCTTTGTCCTAGAACAAAGTAGACAAGTTACCGTGAGTCTAATTGTGCCAATGTAAACTGTAATTTACCAAAGAGAAATACACAATTTGCTTGGTCTTGCAGAAAAGTTCCTTTAAGAGAACCCTCTGTCCAATAAATAAAACTTCCCAAATTACCAGTACCTTGCGCTGTCATGAATTCTAAAATTCAGCATCCATGCGATCAGTATGGCAAAGAACTTGTCTGCTGGGTGGACGGGCTGCAGAGGAAAACCTAAGAGGGGGAGGGGAGCACGGGGGACCGGATGGCGTTGGCTTTTTTATTTAAAGACATTTATTTGAAAGGCAGTTATATATAGAGAGATCTTCTATCCACTCTCCAAATGGCCGCAATGGCCAAGGCTGGGCCAGGAGCTTCGTCCTGGTCTCATGTGGGTACAGGGGCCCGAGCAATTGAGCTATCCACTGCTGCTTTCCCAGGCGCCTTAGCAGGAGCTGGATCAGAAGTGCAGTGGCAGAGGCTTGTGCTGGTGCCCGTGTGCAGGCCAGCAGCAGGCAGGCGCTCAGCCCACACTGCACCGGGATGGCATCATGACTCCAGGCCCACCACGCAGACTAACTCTGATCCAGAAGCGGCCTCCTCCCAGCGCACACGTGGACTCTGCTGCTCTAAGGGAAGCCGGCAATCCTGCTTCCGTGACTGAGAACTGGCAGCAAGCGGTGCCTTCCAATCACTCCGCGGAGCTTACAAGGCCTGTTGTCCTCGTTTATGTTGTGGGACGTTTTTCTTCCGGGTCTTAATACTGGTTAGAGCAGAATAAAGCATTCGGGTGTCAACGTTTGGGGTTTTTTTGTTTGTTTGTTTTTTGACAGGCAGAGTGGACAGTGAGAGAGAGAGAGAAAGGTCTTCCTTTTGCCGTTGGTTCACCCTCCAATGGCCGCCACGGCCGGCGCGCTGCAGCCGGCGCACCGCACTGATCCGATGGCAGGAGCCAGGTGCTTCTCCTGGTCTCCCATGGGGTGCAGGGCCCAAGCACCTGGGCCATCCTCCACTGCACTCCCTGGCCACAGCAGAGAGCTGGCCTGGAAGAGGGGCAACCGGGACAGAATCCGGCGCCCCGACTGGGACTAGAACCCGGTGTGCCAGCACCGCAAGGCAGAGGATTAGCCTAGTGAGTCGCGGCGCCCGGCCAACGTTTGGGTTTTAAAATATGGTCTGTGACCCACTTCATCACTGTTAAAGCCATGAGAACACTTCAGAGGAGTATTTGGAAACACTTAGATCAAGTATCCGATTATAAAGCAAATTCTTTGTCTGAAGACTCCTCACACTTTTGTCACATTAAATTACAATGGTACTTTATTTTAATAGTCACAAGATTTGACACTTGAAAAAAAGAGCACACTAATAAATAACAAAAGTGGAATGCACAAAGTCCCAACAGACAGAATGTTCAGCTGAGAATCACGTCAACAGATAAGGCTCCGAGGACACACACTGCTACTGTGCTAGGCCGTGCACCGTCTTCCTGTGTAACGGGTTAGAGGCTCTGGTCCCACATGGTTAGGACTGCAGTCGTAAAACCGCCATAAACTGAATTTTTACTAGTTCTGATAGCCTACCTAAAATGTTGAGGAGGGTCCCTCCACCTGTGCAGAAAAAGGAAATGAAGACTTCCTCGGTTTCCAGTGCTCTGCACATCCAGTGCGACATTCCCAAGGTGAAACCCCGCAGGTGCTGGTCACAGCTCAGCCGTCGGGGTTACCCTCTGTTGGGCAAGTCTTAACGCTGCCAGGCTGGGAGTATGTAGGTGGCTGGATATTTAAAATTTGTTCAAGTAGAATATGGGAAAAAACAAGAATACATTTCTTCCTTATAGCATCAGTAACCCTCAATTAACTTCATAAGGAACCGCTAAATCATCAAAAGTAAACAATCTTAATACTCAAATGCTTCTCCTGATGAGTAACACTTTTTAGAGTTACCAAAAACTGTATAATTTACCTTGTAGAGGTTAACACACAGGAATGAACTAACAATTCTAGAAAGCACTAGTCCCCTAAACGTGTCCATCCTTTGTCCATTCACCTGATATGCTCCACCCACTCCACCGAAGTTCCAGGTTCTGTCCCGAAGCGCCTTCCTGAACTGCCCTTGGATGAGCAGCTCTGTGGTGTACCGTTGCTCGGGTCTACACGGCGTGGGGAGACGCACACCTCTAGGCCTGGCTGTCGGATCTGGAGATCTGCTCATGTCCAGACTCCTTTTAAAACTTCCCAATAAACATAATTTGTGACCCCTTGACTTGTTAGACAGTACAAGTTAAGATTCCCTACTAAGTGAGAATTACTTTTCAAGCATAAATAAAAGCCACAGCCAGCCGCGGTGGCCACGCCCTAGATCTGAATTATCCGCGTCTGGCACTGCGTGAACATACTTCTCAGTTCACTCTGCTGGACTTCAGCAGCCACCTCGGGCTCGGCGGGACTCTTCTGAACTTTGGCCACCGCAAAGTTTATCCCGTGGGTGAGTCCAGCTTGGGTGAAACTGGCAACTTGGACCATGGAACTTCGAATCTTTGCAAAGGGAGAGACTGCTCTGCTGCTACTGCTCTCTGAAGGGGAAGGGGTTACGTGAAGCCCAGTCTCAAGTTCAAGCACACCGGAACAGGAGCTGGGGGTCTTCTGAGATAAAACTGAATGCACTGGTTCTACCGACAGAAACTGCGAGTCTGCGGCAGGAAGCGCCACATTTAACTGGGAGGGCCGCGAAGGCATCTGGTCCGTGGGTCCTGGCTGCGTTTCTTCCTTCGAAACTTGGTCGGTCACCGGATTGCCCTCCTCGCTAGCCTGCTGGCGCGTGGGGCTGGCCTCTGAGAGCGGGGCCGCTTTGCTTCGTGCGTCCTGCACAAACCTGTGGCAGTAAACATCCACAGTCAGCGTGTGGATGCTGTCGGCAGAAGGACTTCTCTTCGGAGGAGACTCCTGGCCTCTTCCAAACCCACTTCCATGAGCGCCAGTCATCTCCGAGGGGGCGTGAATGCTGACGTCAGAGCCACTGACAGACTGGGACCGGCTGCCTAAGCGCGGTACCGAGGCAATAATCCCACAGCTAGGAAGAACGTAGTCCCCGGGGCCGACGCTCTCCAAGGAGTTAGCCAGCTGCCTGTCTCCATCAGGCGAGGCGTTGGTCAGGAACTCGTCGGAGTGGTACGAGTCGTTGTCTGAAGACACGTCCCCGTCAGACTCCGCCTGCACCTTCTTGTCCACCGCGCCCGTGGTCTCCATGGTCTCAAGGCTGCTATCTGACTTCCAAAGATTGACCTTTAGGTTTGGTTTTAGGAAGTTAACTTTCATTTCCGGTTTCGTGAAGTTTCCTAGCTTTCGCAGGTTGCCGATATTCACGTTAGATTTGGTCTGCTTCACTTTTTGGTTTAGAGATGAAAATTTGCTCATTAAGAAATTCTTTCCCTGGGCCAGAGAGCCTTGGTTTTGAGATCTGATCCCAATGATGTCTTCGTGAGGCTTACTGCTTTTCCTACAAAGCAGAAGAGAAAACAGTTAATTCCTCATGGAGTCGATAAACCAGTTCCAGTCACTAATTTAGGTGAAAGTTGGTCCCCATTTCTTGAAAATACTGCCCTGTTAACTGATGAACCCAAATAGGTCCTCCGAGTTGACAGGAAAACACCAATGGAAATGTGTAAGCTGTCTACATAATCTAAAATGTTCCAGCAGCCACACTAACATGGACAATTTAAAACCACTGAACCCAATGTATACGAAGTGTTATCATCAACACATCGTTTGTATTAAAAGATGAGTACCAGCTTGCTCTGTGTCTGTCCTGTGTCTCTGAAACAGCCACCAGGTAGCATTCTACTCCCGGCACACCTGCCTTAGGCCTCGGCCCGCCCAGCGTCTCCCAATCTCAGCCCCGCACAAAGGCACCACTGACTAAGCAGGAGCCTGCAACCGAAACCCCTCTCTGTCTGACCTCGGGAGGGAGGGAGGGGGAGAGGGACGAGACTTCCATTACCTTAAGTTTCCGTGGATCCCCTGCATGCATTTAAGACAGACCTGGGCATGTAACCGAACTCCTCTTACCGCCTGCTTCGTCACCCCCCGGGAGCGCTATGCTGCTGGCCACAGAACGCACACCCGTGTCCCCGCTCGTCACTCAGGACAGGAGGCCCGGAGTGAGGGAAATGACCCCCCAGCAGCATTCCTCCAGGCCGCCCCGGGGCCCCGGGGCCCGCGAGGGGCAAAGTCCCAGACCTGACATGTAGAACCACCTCTCCATAGCTTTTCCCAAACTCAGACACCTCATGTTTAAACACGCTGCTTTCTCTGTGGTGCTGAAGTGTCAATGCTTCCTCTCACCAGTTTAAGAGTTAAAAATCCATCACTTGTGGCCGTGCAAAGTGACATCGAGGAGGGCAAAATGCTGGCCAGGGCTTGCTTTCTCGGAGGCACTCTCGGTCTCTCTCACGGTGCTTCACAAAATAGCACTCATGCAGAGGGCGCCACCCGGGACTGCAGAACCTCGAACCCACCTGGACGGATATTCTAAATGCATTCTAGGGGCTGGCGCTGTGGCCCAGCAGGTTAACACCCTGGCCTGAAGCGCCGGCATCCCATATGGGCGCCGGTTCTAGTCCCGGCTGCTCCACTTCTGATCCAGCTCTCTGCTATGGCCTGGGGAAGCAGTAGAGGATGGCCTAAGTCCTTGGGCCCCTGCACATGTGTGTGAGACCAGGAGGAAGCTCCTGGCTTTGGATTGGTGCAGCTCTGGTTGATGCAGCCATCTGGGGAGTGAACAGCGGATGGGAGACCTCTCTCTCTCTCTCTCTCTCTCTCTGTGTAACTCTTTCAAATGAATAAATAAATCTTAAAAAAAAAAAAAAAACTAAATGCATTCTAAATGCCTCAGTCAAGAAAAAGAAAATCTGGTCTCCAGAATTCTTCCCAAAGCAGAGACGACGCATGGCCTGTGAGGCGGTGTGCGTGGTCACCGGGGCTGCGAGCCGCTCAGCTGCGCAAGGAGCCTGGGAGTCACCCCTCCCACAGACTCCCACGTCGGGAGACCGTTCTAGGAAGTTACCCTAAACAGGGAAAAAAAAAAAAAAAAAAAGAAAAAAGCACGACCGAGCTTATCATGACTTTAATAAAAAAGAAAAAAGCCAGCAACCCGAATTCTTACAATTAGGTGTAACAGCTACATGCTTGGTGTTCCTACGAGTACGCTATCATTCAATCCATGCAACGAATTTCTGGCACAGATTTTATTACATCATCTCACAGATAACAAAACCACAGGAATCCTGAATATCCCAAGGTTGAGGGGGAAGCGACACAAGTGGGAGTCTGTTAACGAGAGCTCGTGCTCTGAACCCACACAACACGTGCACACATACCACCCCCTTGAGAAAGCCCTTCCATGGTGTCCACACGGTGTCCACACACACATTAGGTCCTGCACAGCTAAATTCTATCCCTAAACTGGAACAGGTCATTCCTTGGAGCATTAAGCAGTTTATCAGAGGCTTTGTTATTTAAAAAGTTCCTGTATTACAATGATTCATGTGCATTTTCTACCATTCAAATATTTTCATTAATAGAGTTCTTTAAAATTGCACGTGAAGAATTAAGTTGGCCAGGATCCATTTTCATATAGGTCAATGTTACTGAAGAAATGCGTGACTCATTGCTATAGATACCGAGACATACATGTAGAATTTAGACAGAACGTGACTTTCTTCCCCAGAACTCTGACACCTCTCTGAATAGCAACACGACCGTAACGTGACCCCTCCTCTCCCCCTTGCCAATGTCTGGACAGAACGAAGACCTTGGATAGCAGCATCTGGATTCTGGGAGAAGCGGTGCTCACCTCTCCAGTTTCTTCTCAACGATGGGCACATCCAGCCCCATGGCCTGCTTGGTGATCTGCAGCATCTCCGCGATGCACTGAAGTGTATCTGAAACCCAAACACAACTGCTGCCACTTTCCGGAGAAACACACCAACAAGTGAATCCACACACCTGGGTGAGACCGTGGTTGCACGGCTAACTGCAGGTTTGCCCGCTAGACTTCACAGAAAATCGCCGTTTGTTCACTATTCTCCAATAATTCAAAACGTTAAAAGAATTGTAACAGAGTAAGAGCAAATCAACTAAATCAACTGGAATGGTTTACCTCGGTTTTCAGGCACTGTGCCGGATGCCCAGACAGCAGCCGTGAATCATCCCTGCTGCTACCCGCCAGACGCAGAGATGCAGAAGCCCTGACACCCACATAGCCTCCTACAGAGCCACACCGACGGAATCCCCATTCGTGTCCCTCGCCCCAAACTACAAAATCCGCTCAACTGCTCTGCCCGCATCACCGAGAACGCAGCGGCTTCCCCTGGTCACACGTCTCAGAGCTGCCCTGGGTCAGCCGTCAGGTCCCAGCTGCACTGAGCTCCTCCGAGTAAATCCGAGTTAGCACTGAATGCTCTCATTTCTTTCACTTTTTACCTTTTCCATCCTCTTCTGGGTTGCGCATGACAGCTCGCAGTGTGTGGAAATAACCACTCACTTCTTTATACCTGTAGTGCAATCGCATGCAGGAGAACTTGGGCTTACCAAAAAGCGTGGGTTCAGGACCTGAAACCAAATGAACACTTCTAAGTTACGTCTTCCACAGGGCATTCTCTAACTTCCAACAGTCAATACAACTCGGCAGGTAGCACCATCTTCTTCATAATCTAATCGACAGCACACAAAACACAGGCCTGATGAGGCCATGAACTATTCTTTAGTCTCCATTATTAATCTTTGCTGTTCCCTGAGTTAATCTTCACAAGGTAAATAAGGGAAGGAATACAAGTGTCATGTCACCATTCTATCATCATTACTCTCTCAGGAACAGGCTGCCTGGGGGAGTCCCCTTCTGGTGTCTAACAGATGTTATACACATACACTGGCTGCTTAAAAAATAAAACCCATTCTTAGAAGCAACAGCTTCTGCTTTCTATGACTCGGTTTGTATATTATAACTTACCTATTTCTATTTTTTCCAGGTCTTCTAGGCTTAACCGTTGATACTGGTTGACTTTATCAACTTCATCATCATAACTAGATAAGAGAAAGAGTAAAGAGAATTAAAAAATGCATTTGGCTTGTCAGCTGAGGTTTAACAGCAGCAAACTATTACATGCAGTTAAAATAAAACCTTTCACTAAAGCATACATTTCAGAGTGAAGAGTTACACTTCAGCACTTCTATAACTAGATTAGGCAAGAACAGCATACGCTATTCAACAGATAAAGCAAAACTGGCTCCTAGATCTTAAATGTAAAAAAGAAATCAATTGCAAGGCAAAAATAATTTGTTTATAAAAACTTTTATAGAAAAAATTCCGTATGATCTATGCCAACAGGTGTCTGGGCTGATAACTAAAAAATACAACTTCACACACAGCCAAAAATAAAATGAATAATTACAAAACAGAAAACTCCAGTCTAGTGTAGTATAGGGAACTAGTACTGTATCTGCTGCTGGCACTGTTAACTGACAGGCTGTCTGGAGATCAGCCCGAGTGAAGGCCGTGTAATTCACCACACGCCAGTACCCAGAGCATGCGTGCACATGCGTGTACACACACGTGCCATCTGTGTAGAGGTGGCTGCATGGTTCATGATGGCAAAGAATCGGAAACCTCACACTCCTCACGCTGGGGGCTCACACACACAAATACAAACAATGATGCATGGCCACTAATGATAAAAAGATATGGGGCACATCCAAACCTGGGAGCTAACAAGTAATACATGCTAAGGGAATGCAATAGCATAAAAGAACTCTAACTCTACAGCCATATTTTCAAAGTGATGTAAGTCACATAAGGTAAAGGCATCCCATGAAGTTTTATGAAATTTGTAACAAAACCAGTTTCTTGAATTCCATTATGATTCTAAAAAGGAAACTTACTAAAGTTTTTAAAAAAATTAAAAGCTTTAAATAGAAAAGCAACTTACTAGGCCACGTAGTAGGCAGAGTTAGAAAGCAGTAACAGCACATCCACATCTCTGTGAGTAGCATCAATGAGGCTAAACAAACATGACACAGGGAATTAGGTGTTTTCATCAGCATTCACTTGCCAAGCATATTTCCCCAGTGTAGACCCTTACAGCAAAAAACTGGTCGGGGGAAAACAAGAAATTCAGTGAGCTCTACCTCGGAGGTTGGATGCGTTACAACCCTCCCCTGTGGAAAGCGTTTCAAGAATACCTGAGCAGACTGGGGAAGGGGGGGACTTCCGGGCAGGGTTTCCAGAGAGGGGGCGGGGACTGCAGGGTGACAGAGGCGGTCACCGAGGGCGGGAAACTGAGCGCCTCACATCAACCTTCGGAATAACACCGGCACATCCTGGCTATGCATACATGCGGATACTGCATTGAGGGAACTTTACATAAATCTAATTTATTTGCAAAGACGGAACAAGCCAAGCTACATCCCACTTTACTCACTATAGACTGATTAATTTACTTGGCTTTCGGGGAACAAATAAACATTTTCTTAACCCAAGTCCCTCCGGCCGTATTCACGTCCACACTAAAATTAAATATCAAAATAAAGGTTCGACAGCAGATGTGCTGCTGAGTGGGTAAACCAGCGCAGTGGAGTGGGAGTCCTTGCAGAATGACCGACAGGAAAACGGTCAAAGCGCAACCCCACAGTACCGCGCACAGGCCGAGTCCACTGCCAAGGACTGCCCGTGGCCAGCGCAGCCCCTGCAGGAGGGTGGCGACGCAGCCGCGCTCGCGCTGTCCCCAGGGCTCACCCCTACCCAGCGGACCTGATGGAGACGGAGCGCAGGGTGCG